AGGGAGGAACACAGGATGTCTGCTTTCCTTAGTAATGGAACTCGTTTAGGTTTTGGACTCCAACTATCCTGAATTTTCTCTCATTTGAGTACCTTTGGGTTTTCTCTCCAGGGCTAAGAGGTAACAAAATGTGTACTCTGTAGAAGAGTAATAAAACTAGTTTTAATTGAAGCAGTGATACCTGGGCAGTGGCTTTTGTTTTGTTTTGTTGGAGATATGAATGATCAGGATCCTAAAGAGAAGTGGAGAAGAGAGTGGTTTGTCTCCTTCCTTGGACTATGAGCCAAAACAAATCAGCCCCTGATGGTCTGGGCTGAAATGCAGCTCACTGGATAATTAACTCCATCTTTCCAGTCCACCCTAACTGTTTATTTAGTGTCACCCTGCATTACCATCACTAGCACTTTCCTCTGAACAGGAGGAGCTGCAGGCTTTCACCTCCCAAAAGGAAATTCTTCTTAGCTTAGACAGATGTGGTAGTCAGGATGTACATTAAGGGAGAGAGAGAGAAAGAGAGAGAGAGAGAGAGAGAGAGAGAGAGAGAGGATTTTTAATGGAAGATTAGCAAGCTCAGGGAGTTTCATTTTGTGAACTTGCCCCAATGGAATATTTAAAGATAAGGGGACTGCTGTGTCTTCAGTTCCTAAGAACTGATAACACCTTGATCCACTATCCAGAAGGGTGCTTGCCATCTGATGTTGAGGGGGATCTTTTGGTTCAAACTCAGCCATTGGTGTCCCTGGGCTGAGATTCCTCAGAGAGCAGCTGAAGTAACCAGAAGAAATAAGAGGAGTGGGAGGGGAAAGGGAAGAAAGGAAGAGGGGGACAGGAAGAGGACAGAGGGGAAAGCAGGAGAGTAAGTGAAGGGAGGAGAAACAAGCTCACTGAGTACAAGAGAAAGAATGAGACACTCTGGGAGACAATTCAGAGCACTTCCTAACCACGTGTGCCTTCGGCCCCCTTCTCTTTTCTTTCCCGGTGCGTTCCTAGGGGGTGGGGAGGGGTAGAAAGCTCAAATGGGTGGGGAACAGAGCTGTATATGTGTTTGGAGGTGTCATGTTCTATCCGTTCTCTGTTTCAAAGTGGAGATGGCATTTTTTAGAGCTGCACAGGGCAGACAGGGTTTGTGGCGTAGGGCTCGCAGCTGACACTGTTTGTCCAGGTGTGGGATGGGACTGCGGTTGGATGGCGGCGGTTGGATGGCGTCTTGGGGCAGTCCAGCATTTTTGCACCACGGAAGCAGAAGTCTCAGCTCCCGAGCTTCCCGCTTCCAGGAGAAAGCTCCCCCCTTCAGCTTCCATACATAAATACATTAGGGCCACAGACAAATCCTCATTGTTCAGAAATAAGCCGGTGAGGCCTGCCGGCTCCCCTCAGCGGGGCAGAACAAGGCAGAAAGGGTGGGTGGGAGGGAGGGAGGCGGGGGCCGCAGGGATCCGGGGTCGCTTTGCAGATTCCCACTAAAGATAACGAAATGTGATCTATTTTTCAGAACAGCAAGTGGATGGGAAAGATCCTTGACAACACAAAACTCATTTACTAATGGACTGGTTTTGAATTTCTCCTTCTTGGGTCTGTAAATCGCCCCACCACCCCGAGCCCTCGGCCTATTCGGTCCTGGCAGGCTACAGCGTCCGGCACGAGGCAGGTGGGCAGTACACTAAAGATAACGAAATGTGATCTATTTTTCAGAACAGCAAGTGGATGGGAAAGATCCTTGACAACACAAAACTCATTTACTAATGGACTGGTTTTGAATTTCTCCTTCTTGGGTCTGTAAATCGCCCCACCACCCCGAGCCCTCGGCCTATTCGGTCCTGGCAGGCTACAGCGTCCGGCACGAGGCAGGTGGGCAGTACCTTTCGCGCAGCGTCCACCATCTGAGCGCGGTTCCCAGGGACCGAGAGCACCAGGGGCTCCCGACTAAGCAGATACAAAGATGAATGTTTGCTGCTTCAGCTGGGATCTGGGAGACTCGGCACTGCCCTGCCGCAGAGCGATGACACTAATTTATTGAAGATGCCCTTGATTTCCAAGTCTGTAGGTAGGGTAGGGCCTCCCATAGTAGCTCTTGATGGCTAAGAAAGCGGGCTGGGAATCTCAAGCCAGGAGAGACAGAAGGAAGTCCTTAGATACAGGATTTTGATCCTTAGGCCTTATGTCAGTGTAGCCAAGAAACTTCAACAGCTTTAAAGATTTTTGCCTTGGCCTTATGGTCCACTGGTTTAAGTGCACCTGGCCATTATCTGCACCGCGGAGCACCCAGAGCCGAAGCCCTGTGTTGGCAACCACTGGTTCAGCGTCCCTAGCCAGCTGCAAAGCGGCCAGGGCAGCAGCGAACTGACTAGAGTTGCTCGGTCCCTTTAAATGCCCGCAGCATCTCTGTTTTTCATGCGATTTGCATTGACAGCAAAGGTTTTATGTTACAGAAAGACTCAAACCTTTATGTGTGCGATTTAAAATGGATCATTTGGTTTATGTGGTTTGTAAATTCATGTCATTTTACCTCTTTTAGTGGTTTTCAGTGAAAGGTTCCATTTTGGGAAACCTTATATATCCAAGCCAATAATTATCATTTATAACAATTGGTTCCCTTAACCAAGGGATCGAAATAGCAGGTAGACTCCTTGGTACAAAGCACATAGATAGCACTTTTCCTTTCTAGTTAAATGGTCCACTGGATTAAATAGGAAGGGGGAAAAGTCCAGGCACCGGGTCTCTGAGAAGTACCTCTCATTTACCTCGGTGCCTCTTCTCCCAGGACCTACTGGATCCTCTTCCCAAGTTGTCACCAGTGTCTGGTACAGTCCTTGTTCCTTTGAATAGATATGAAAAGAAATGGGCAGGGGAGTTGAGAAGAGGGAGAAAATGGTGGTCATATTGGTGCCTAATTGCCATCTCTCTCCTCTGTTATTCTCTGTAAATTTATACCTGTACTTATTTGTTCGTTATGCCTCATTTCCCTATACAAAACTTAATTACAAAGCACACCCTGTATTCAACATACCATTTGTCTTTTAAGGCATGAGACTGTGCTTATAAATCCACACACACACACACACACACACACACACACACACATTTTAATTGTGCACACTTGCTCCAGACTTTAGGGTACTGATTTTGAGAGCCCATTTAAGTCCCCCGTTCCGGTCCTGACACAGCTGCCATGTCAATAAGGACTTTTCCAAGCAGAGGCATTCCTCTTGGCAGGACACTGCAGTTCCTTAAGACTTCATCTGAAACGTCATGAACACTAAAATAAGACAGTGAGGGAAAATTACCAGACACATGGCCTTGGGCTCAGCAGTGCCAGGCTTCCAGTTTAGAAAGTAAGTCACTGGGCATACCATGTGGCAGAAGCTCTTTTGAAATAGTACACACCCATTAAATGCATTTTAAAAAATAAGCCTAACTGTAATGAAGTACCAGTCTCTGCTTCCAAGGTTTAATTGCATGGGATACACAAGTGTTTCAAGGAGGCAGAAAGTATTGTGTGGGAAGCTCAGCACAAAGGAGGCTTTCTGAACTTGCAATCTCCTGGGAGGCAGCCTTGAGGTGGGAACCCTTTATGAGCTTGAAATGTATGTTGTGGGGCACACTGGACTGGGTGGATTATTTTAAAACCATATCAATAATACAAGGGGAAACCCTTCTCTCGCTTAGATCTCAAAATGCAAAAGGCTCTGGGGTGCGGTCTTTGGCTGATGGAATCAAAACATATTGAAAGAAGACAAGCAAGTTTAAAGAGCCCAGAGTTTGTTCTTCATCATTCTCCAAGAGGGCACACTGAATTCAAAAGCATTTTTGAAGTGTACTTAGAATTCTGTTTTGAACTTATCTAATCAGAGATAAGTATAGTCATAAAGCCACTCTCCTTCCACCATTCCGCCTCCTTATCGCCACACATTGTTCTTATCGGCTTTCGGTCTCTGCTACTGACAATAGATTATCTTTGTTTAGAGAGCCTAATTGTTTTCAAAATCTTTTTAATAATTGCTTTGGAACAAGGTGTGCAAATGAGGCTTAAGATAATTATAGCTTCATTTGTTTGTGCAGTTTTACTAAGCATTCGACACACAAACAAAATAGCAGATGATGGGACTTAAATTGCAGGACATCACTCATTCTCTGGCAGCAAAACAAGCCAGCATTGCAACACACACACACACACACACACACACACACACACACACACACACACACACACACTTTATTTAATCTTCTTGGAGCCGCTGTGGTTCTAGATTTGAGGGCAGTGTCCCTCTCAGAGCAGGGTAAGGATTATGTTACAACTCCACGGTTATTGGAGCCAGGCACAGTTTTATTTAATTTACACCCCATCCAGAGCCTTTTGCATGAGGTTCCCAAAGCATTTTTGCTAATGGCAAGTAAGGTTTTTTGGCATCCTCAGTAGCAGAGGTGGCACCGGAGTGCAGATGGGGAAACTGAGTCCAGAGGAATATTAAGATACTAAATCGAAGATGAAGTCTCTGTGTCTCTACTCAGTCACAATGATCTGAACAACTTTTCTCCTGATCCCACGTTGTAGAGACACTTTGAGAATGAGGGGAATGCTGTCCAGATCAGAGTACTTGAGCCCTTGGGGGGGGGGGCGCGGGGAGTGGTGGTGGTGTGTTTGGGAAGGAGGGAAAGAGGGAGGAAATTAGGTTTGGCTCCTGGAGTTGATGGCAAACCTAAGACGGTCACTCTTCTAGAGCCTGCAGCCCGGAGCTCTAATCTGCTCTTGTATTATTTATCACGTTCCATAAGCTATTCATCAATCCATTATTTATTCATCCCAACATTAAGGTAATTAAATATGAGCTCACCGGGAAAGGGCACGACTGCAAAGGACAGGGACCGGAGCATGGGGGGGGGGAATTAGGACGTCTGCAGTCAATGGTTTGTGCCTAGATGCGTGCGACTCCCTTAGGTGACACCGGAAAGGGTGCCTCTGCAAAGCCTTGACATGCTCATCGACCCTTCCAGCACCCTGGTTCCCGCCTTCCCACCCCACCTCACTTCCCACCTCTCAGGGTCCTTCTCCTCCCACCACTCCCTACCCCTAGCTTCGCAGCTTCGCCCTCCCTAAGCGGGGCCGCGGGGCGGCGCGGCTTTCCAGCGGGTCCGGCGGCGCGCGCGGGCTGGCTAGATGCGGATAGGCGCCGGCCGCAGCCAATCAGCGAGCCGGGGACGCTGCGCGCTTTAAGGTCGCTGCTGGGAGAACAGAAACCAAGTTCCCCGGCAACGAGCAGCATCCACCCGGCCGCAGGCCCCAGCCAGCGAGGCCCGGAAGGCTGCGGAGTGTATCGGCCACTCCGACCGAATCCAGCGCACCCCTACTTCGCCTCCTCTTCTTCACTGGCCTCCCACCCCCAAGTTCCGACTCGCCTATTCGCCTACGCCTAGGGAGGGGGTTAGGAGCTGCCGCGTCCCCCTCCCTGAGGCGGCCGCCCCCAGCTTTTTCTGCTCACTGCAGCGTGCGCCTGGGCCGTGCGCCCCGGCAGCGCCAGCCATGTCTATGCTGCCGTCGTTTGGTTTTACGCAGGAGCAAGTGGCGTGCGTGTGCGAGGTTCTGCAGCAAGGCGGGAATCTGGAACGCCTGGGCAGGTTCTTGTGGTCGCTGCCCGCCTGCGATCACCTGCACAAAAACGAGAGTGTGCTCAAGGCTAAGGCAGTAGTCGCCTTCCACCGGGGCAACTTCCGCGAGCTCTACAAGATCCTGGAGAGTCACCAGTTCTCGCCGCACAACCATCCCAAACTGCAGCAACTGTGGCTGAAAGCGCACTACGTGGAGGCCGAGAAGCTTCGAGGCCGACCTTTGGGTGCGGTGGGCAAATATCGTGTGCGCCGAAAATTCCCTCTGCCGCGCACCATCTGGGACGGCGAAGAGACCAGCTACTGTTTCAAGGAGAAGTCGCGGGGCGTGCTGCGGGAGTGGTACGCGCACAACCCCTACCCCTCGCCCCGGGAGAAGCGGGAGCTGGCGGAGGCCACCGGCCTCACCACCACCCAGGTCAGCAACTGGTTTAAGAACCGGAGGCAAAGAGACCGGGCGGCCGAGGCCAAGGAAAGGTACGCGGCGTGCTTGCCCAGGCTTGGGCAACCCGGGGAAGTCTTCCTTGCCCTTCCGCCCCTTTCCGTCCCCGCAGGCATCACTACCAAATCCGCCCGCAGCGGGTCCTCGGGGCGGTTCCTCGGCCTCAGACACTCGGCAGCGAAAGTTCATGAACTCTGAGGTTGCGTGCTAGGGATGAGGCCCCTCGCTGGCGTTGAGCACTCGCGCGTGGGTTTCTTTGGGGGTGAAGAGTCGCGCTAAGTTTGTTTCTCATGCCTTCCTGGCTGGCTGCGGCGAAGGGAGGGGGCGGGAAGGGGAATGTGGCTGGATATCCCCTGGAAAGCGGTTCAGTGCGGCGGTGGGTGGGCCTCGAACCTTGGTCCTCCTGCTCCGAGCTGAAGCTGGCCAGACACGTCCGCTCTGCCGCACTCCCGGTGGTCTCTGGATCAGAGTTCTGCACTAGTTGGACAAAGGGGAGAGTCTTGATAGGAAATACACAGGAAAGAGAATTTTGGGATGGGGGGTCGCGGCTGCATTTCTTGCGCCGCCAGCCGGGGAAGGACCGCTGCTCGACGCGCTCGCTCGCGCGTGGCCGGGGCTCCGCAGCCCCCGGGGGAGGACAGGGGCTGCATTCGGCGGCTTCTCCCGCCCCCAGCTCAGAAGCAAGGCTTTAAAAAAGCCTGCCTCCCCCTCCTCGCGCAAACAGGCGCAGCCACTTGGCCGGGGGCCACGGTTCGCTGCGGAGTTTCCGAGCGGATTCCGAGCAGCGCCGGGCAGGCGGCGGCGAGCGCCGCGCGAAGCGGAGGAGTGCGGGGCACCCGGGCACAGGGCCCCGCACCGGCCTCTTTGTTCGCTGGCCGCCTCCAGCCTGAAGATCTGGCTTCCCCCGTCTCCTCCGGGTGGAAAACCACAGAGTCTGCCTAAATTCCGCTGCAATGAGCTCTTTGGAAGTCTGTGCCTGGAAGGGAAAGTGGAATGAGGAGGGCGCTAGGCGTGGGGAGGACTGCGAGCGCTCGGCGGACTGAAGCGGCGGGAGGCGACATAGCGAAGTTGGGGACCGGGTTCGGGGACTGACGCTCCTGCTTGCCCACCCGGTCTCAGCTGCTGCGGGCGGGCCAGGTTTTCCTAGCTGGCAAGTGGATGTTGGTGGGCAGCTTGAGAGGGAGCCGGGAGGGGCTGAGAAGTGAGTCAGGAACACCGAAACTGGGGATTGCACGGTTTCTGTTAGCCTTTAATTTACAAAACGGCCAGTCCCTAAAGTCAGGCGAGGACCTACCCCTCGGTGAAATCGGAGAGACTGGCTGAGTACGCTGTTTACTCAGGTCACTGGGCCGCTCTGGGGACCACTTCTCATGACTTGTCTCCTAGGTCTTCCAACCCGGAGTCTCCGGACAGGGGCTGGGAAACTGGTCATCTAATTGTTTCCTCAAGCATTTGTGCATTAGGCAATTTGTCCCCCGACCATTCCTTTATCGTCAACAACCATTTGTTGGAAGGCTTTCAAACAGTTACTAGGAAATATGGTGCTAGTTGATAGGTGCTTAAACATAGCTGCTGGAACAAAATTGAAAACACGTTTTTTGCTTATTTCAAATAAACCCGGCTCATCTGACTTTCTGAAATCTGGACCTAGCTCGGAGCAGCAGGCTTCCCATTTCTCTAGTCCCCTCTGCCTGCTCACCTCCCCCCATGACCCTTGGGGATAGGTGGGAGGACAGAGCTCCTCCGTTTGGGTTGGTGACAGATTGCACAATGGCCCTTTCCTCCTTCCAGCTCCCCTCCCTTCACCTCACACTTTTTTTTAACCTACATTTTTTTTTTTTTTAACCATATGGTGTTGTCCTCTATTTCTTAGGGAGAACACCGAAAACAATAACTCCTCCTCCAACAAGCAGAATCAACTCTCTCCTCTGGAAGGGGGCAAGCCACTCATGTCCAGCTCAGAAGAGGAATTCTCACCTCCCCAAAGTCCAGACCAGAACTCGGTCCTTCTGCTACAAGGCAATATGGGCCACACCAGGAGCTCAAACTATTCTCTTCCAGGCCTGACGGCCTCACAGCCCAGCCATGGCCTGCAGGCTCATCAGCATCAGCTTCAAGACTCTCTACTGGGCCCGCTCACCTCCAGTCTGGTGGACTTGGGTTCCTAAGTGGGGAGGGACTGGGACCTCGAAGGCATAGCTGGAGCAGCCACCAACCACAGCAACTAGGGACACTTGTAAATAGAAATCAGGAACAATTTTGCATCTTGTTTCTGGGGTTCTTTGAGCATAAAGGAAATGATGGGCTTTCACAAATGTCTTTTTTAAAAAATCAAAACCAACAGCGATTTCCAGCATAGTCTCCCGCTTCTCTCCAACTCTTACCATTCTTGCGTTTTCCCTCCCACTGAAAAGATCCAGAAAAAAAAAAAAAAACCCAAACAAACAAAAGCACCCAGTTTTTGGTCCTGGGCAACCCCCACACCCACTTCAATAGTCTTTTCTTTTTTTCTTTTCGTGAACAGAAATTACAAGCCAACTGGATTTAAATTATTTCATTTTAATTTATTTATGGAGAAGCAATTTTGGGAAAGGGAAAAGGGAGAGAGAGAGAGAGAGAGAGAGAGAGAGAGAGAGAGAGATCAGAGTAGGAGTGGCAGTAAGGGGCCAGCCAGCCCGACAACCTGAGGAACTGATTACATTCTTAAGATGAATAGGAAAAATATAATCATAACTGGTTTTGATGGGAAAATTACGTTTACATTTTTCATATTTAGTGTTAAATAATTTTATGTAGATTAAAATAAAAGAACAGTATTAGTGGGAAAATCAAGTGCCTAAATGTCTTAATGCTCTCTATGTGAGGCGGTTAGAAATAGAAATGACATTAGTAATACAACTATTTTTGTCAGATTTAGTAGGGGTTTTGGTGGTTGTTTGTTTTCTTGGGTTTTTTTTTTTTTTTTAAATGACAAACTCTAAAAGTGTACCAATGTGGAAAAAAAAGAGAAAATAATCACTTTTCAAAATGCCATTACTGTTCATACCTCAGAGCTTTCCTATCTGCAGGCTAGCCCTACTAAGGGATTTCTCTGCTCCTAGTTTCTACTTACAAAAGGATGCCAACAGAACTTGGCAACCTGGTATTTGTTACTAAATCAGCATGCGTTTTCAGGCTTCTTTTCTATTGTACCGAAACCAGCCTAAATTAAAACTTAGTGGAACACCAGGAGTATGATTCTGTTTCTGAAAGGTGAGTTGTATATTGCTGTCATCATTGGGCCCTATTTAAAAACAAGTTTCTTGCTTTCTTGCTTAATAGTGGTTATGAGGTACAGGGTATTTTGAAGTCTATCATCTGAAATCAAGAGTAGCAACTAGGTTAATGATGTGACAAAAGAGAAGTTTAGCTTTGGGTATTTATTTATTTTTTTTTTTATTATTTAGAAAGGCAGTTTTGTTCACCACTAGCTCTTACCCACAGCATTCATACGTTAACTTGGCTCTTTTGTGTTAACAATTTATGATAAGACTGTGAAAGTAAAAGTAATTTATCTGCTTTTTTTTTTTTAAAAAAAAAGGGAACTTGAACAAAGATTTAAGCATGAATAGGAACTAATCTGTACAAATAAAAAGCAGACCACTGGGACAGGAACTCTTTTGCAGTGCTGTCGGATAGTGTCCAGAAAAATCCCAGAAATCATGAAGGCTCCATGTTCTTTTTGCCTGGGGCAAAATGATGTATCTTCTGTATTTAGCTTTCAAAATTAGTGAAACAAATGGCATTATTTATTAAAAATTCTACTCAGGATAACAGGATTGGCTCACTTGTGCTTTGTAAAATATTGTTCCCTGGGGAGAATCTATTTATTTTCTGACATGAGTTTCATAATTTTGATTTTTTCCTCATATGTGTCAACATTAATATATTCTTCCTTTCTGACCTTTTCCTATTGTTCCTGACCTGAACTAGGAAAGTGGGGGAGTGGGGGAAATGAAGGCATTGTTATTATTATTATTATTATTATTATTATTATTATTATTAGTTTTTAAAACTCCCATTGTCTTGGATTCAAGGGAAAATGATCACTGTGCTTTTAAATATAGTCACTTTTACTTATAAAATCCCCCCCCCCAAGGATGGACAGATGTGCACACAGACGCTCAGAGACCCTCATTTGGGCTGGAAGCTCCGGGTCCCAATCTCCCTTGTTAGTGTTTTGGATCATTAAGTCGGTGTTTATTTAAGTCACTAGGGTGTTTGTTCTCCACGTCTTGGGCCACGGAGAAATGCCACCCTCTGCAGGAGGGGCTCTCACAGGGAATCTCCACACATTCTTCACATTCACTCCCCAAAACAAACACCCTGCACAAAGATAGCTTTCAATGACCCTGACAGGCTTCAAAAAGAGGCCGCGGAAATCTCTCTGGAAAATAGGAAGGGCCAATTACTTTAATTTCTTACATGCCCTCGCGTCCTACTCCGATCACTACCCCCCACTCTTGCAGCTCCTCTTGGCATAATTTTAGAGTCATGGAAGGGTTGCCTCTCTGGGAGCACCGGACCCACTTCCTGCTCTTGGTTGGTGAATCTTGGAGAGGTTTGCAGATCTGGCAAGGACGGCCGGTCCCGTAAAAGCCCCCGTGATTACTGCTTGTAAACTCGTTAAAAGGACAATTTTCTGTCACAGCCATAAACTCTTTGTAAAATCTCTGGCACTCGATCCAGAGTGCGCATATTCCAGATGTGTTTAATAAGAAATTGCACAATATGCCTCCTTCCGCCATCCTCGGCTCAGTCTGGCTAAAAGAGGGACAAGCAGGAGGAGGCGAGAAAGCTGGACGTCGTTCTGAGTTTTCTTGGCAATCATTTTAGAGCGGTCATTAGGGGGAACTAACCATATTTTTTTCCCCTCGAGGAAATCTTCGAGAACCAGCTGTTAAGGGACGTCCAATTTTCCCTTCTCGGCGTCAACGTTTAACCGAATCAGGAGCCACTTTTCGTTCCTCCTCTGCAAATTTCGTAGTGATAGCCAAAAATAATGAGCAATGTCTTATAAATAAAGTGGTTTCAGGACAAAACCTTACAGCTTTTTGCCAAGTGAAATTAAAAAAAAAATACTCTAGTGATGTTTTCTAAAATGTCTTAAATCTCAATACAGGATTGCTGGGACCCGGCTGGCTGGCTGCTCGCTTTGACCCCTTGGCTGAGAAAGAGGCTTCCTAAATTCTCGGAGGCCAAGGGGTTTATTTGACCCGCAATTCCCGAGGTTTGGGCTTAGCAAGCAGGGACTCAAGAACTGGGTGAGTTACCAGCCGAGGTGGAGACACTGCTGGGGCCTGTCACCCCTGGTCTGGAACCTATTTTCCAGGCGAGGCCCGCTCGGTCTTCACCCGGAGATGGGACGGAAGCTGAGGAAGAGGCAGTGGGACCGCGCTGGTGGGCTAGTTCCGACTTTGCGGAGCTTGGACCCCTGCTCTCCCCTGCAAGCCGACGGCCCTGGCACCTGGCACACATCTGCACTTAGCCTCCCTCGCTTTGGGCAGCCGGCCTTTTGCTGGGCCTTCGCTTGCTGCAGTCTCCCATGTCTGGTCTCTGAAAAGCCTGCGGACAGGTCTCCAGATCCAGGATAGTGGCCCACGTTTCTTCTGCTGCAGAGAACCGGGGGAGAGTCTATCATCCGCACGCCCAGGACACTGCTCCTTCCGTTCTGCACCGAGAAGGCGCAGGGAGGACACTCCTGCAGCCACCGCTCTTTGCTCCTGGCGATTCAGAAGAGGATCGCACTTATCTCAGACCCGGATCCCATTGCGGCTCCAGGCGCAGGATCTGGTGGGCTCAGCCTGCGAACTCCTTGAGAGTGGAGGATGCCAGGCTAGCCACATGGGAGAAGGCCAGGGCTTGGGCCTCGCTGGGAAGCAGCAACGGTGGTCCTGGGGCTCCCCCCGCCCCTGAAGTTCCTAGCGCACGTGAATGACCCTGGACTCACCACTGTCGGGTTGCCCCCGGCCTTGAAGCTCCAGACCAAGGGATTCTGTCCCCCGGGTGGGGCTGCAGGTGTCAGCGCTCCCGGTCCTCAACATCCCACTTGGACCCAGAACGGCCTACTCAGGCCCCGGAGTCTGGTCTCCAGTTTAGGCCCTGCTGCCCAATCCTCATGGCGCTTTTCTTTTGATGCCGCCTGTGCCCTTTGTTTCCTGGGGCCTAGGCTCTGGCTCTGGACTCCTCCTAGCGCGCTGGCCAGGCTGTGCCAGTCAGTCAGGAGGGGGACCCATTTCTGAGTTTGTTGGCACTACTTCCCCCGCTGGGGAGAGGTACCTTGGCTTCTAACATCCTTTAGGATGGAGCCACAGCTCTGCTTCCAAAAGTATGACTGGGTTGCCCTGTGCCAAGCGGCTATCCCTTCCCTACGTCCAGTCCGGGACCCACAGGGAAGGCACCAGCCGAGCTGCACAGCAGTCTTAGGTCTGCTGCTGTGGCAGACGATCTACCCAGATCTTGTGGGAGTGGGTAGTATTGACAGGCACAGGTGGGTCAGGATTAAGAGAGGTCTCGGGTGGCCCTAGTGTTCTTTCCACTCTGTTGTATCTTTACCCGAAAAGTCTTAAAACGCCTAGATTCCTCTAGTCGCTCAAAGCCAGAGGAGCCTGTATATATGGCCACCTCTTCCCAGGAGCAAATCATACTGGGGTGCCCGAGGACTCAGTGTCCTAGGCAGCAGGCATGCTCCATGACCTTAGCCAAGGGGAGGGGGGGGGATTTGTGCCCCTTGAGTTCCTAGAGACTACCTTCACCATTCTGACTCCGGAAACTTTACCTGAAAACACCTCTAAAAGGGATGAGCTAGGTAAGAGATGGGTGAACCAGCCAGGAACAAAAACAATCAAAAGTCCCTAGGAAATATTGGCTTTTCTTCTACCCGGAAAAAGCGCGTTTTAAACTCAGCACATACTCACTTCGTTCCAGCTGATGAAATTGGAAACCTGTTCTCCTACTGAGGATGACAATGAGGGGTTTAGACGCTGTGGTCCTTTCAGACAGAGAGAAACAACACTGCAGTAGCGTTTAAAAACAAAGAAAAAGACTGCTTGAGGCGCGTGGAAGCCAGCCGGTCTGTTTTCCAATCCTAGCCTGAGATTTTCTCCTTTTAACTTTTTAATGGACAGCTGAGATCTGGGTTCTCAGCAGGTAGTGTACAATCGCACACCTGGAACCCCCTCACCCCACACCTGTTAGGGAAAGTACTCGCTGTTCTTTACCATATGCCAAAATATTCTTGATATCACATTCTTTTCCCAGATCAAACAGGAAAATGTTTCAGAGAAGAAATAAAAACTAAAATATCAAAACCCAGTCTCTGAAAGAGAAAAAGGTTAGCTTTAGATTTTCTGCATACTTCAGTATACCTGAAGTAGCTGCTCAACTGTGATTAAAATGTTGTTGAAA